GNTCGTGCCCTTCAATGGGTGTCTGCCTTCCTTGAGAGGAAGGAACAGCGCGTACGGGTAGAGCGTAGCCTTTCGCTCAGGCAAGCTGTCGTTAGTGGTGTCCCGCAGGGCTCGGTATTGAGGCCATTGTTGTTCGCTGTCTATATAACTGACCTGCTGGGAGATCTAGGGGGTCATCACTAATGTTTGCTGACGACTTTAAGCTCTGGAATATTGTAGATATCCCCGGGGTTCCTGAGGCAATTCAGCGTGCTTTGGATAGGCTCTGGAAATGGTCTACCTTATGGTTGATGCCCATAAATAGGGCCAGGTGCTCTCTTCTCCGAATCGGAGCTGCTAATCCTCCCACCCGATATGTTGGCTGCGGTGGTGAGCTCCCTGTTGTCACTCAGCAGGTTGATTTAGAGGTTGTACACTCATCAGCACTTCATTCTGGCGACGATTGGAAGAAAGCTGCTTGTCGAGGGTTTCGTGAGATGTGGTTTGTCTGCCACACTTTCGGAATCCTAACGGCAAATTTGTTTGTAAAGCTGTTCTCCGCATTCGTCCGACCACACCTGAAATGTTGTATCCAGGCTTGTCCACCATATCCTAACCGAGACAAAATGGACTTGGAGAGGGTGTTACGAGTGGGCACTCGGTTAATGCAAGGTCTACGGTGACAGACGTATCCTGAACGTTTGCTCAGTTTGGGGATGTACTTAATGCACTACCACAGCTAGCCTGAAGCGAGACCGCAAATCGTGCATCGGGAATGAGAACAGTCGTTACCGTTGGTAATCATCATAAATTATTCCGTCTGATATGGGAAACTGGCGGCAGGAGACCTGGTGTTAGGGAGACCATACGCAACGAGAGTGGACAGCCTATCCACAGTTTGTCAAAATGCTTGAAGCGTTGGACCCAACACAGCTCTGTACACAATCTGCGATCCCCTTCAGGTGACACTAGCAGCACTTTCTCATTGCGCCTATCCGGTGACGATGCAGCTTCGAGCATCGGCCAAGCCGATATTGGTATTGCCCTGAGTCCCCGGACTGAAGCTGCTCTGGTTGATTGGATTCCAATCAGTAGCCGGATGTGTGCGGTCCGATTGGCTGGCTCGTTCAAAACTTCGAAGTCGCGTGGGACTAACAGGTGTCTATTCGTTATCGCTGCTTATGCACCGACAAACTGTAGCGATGACTCGGTAAAAGACGACTTCTATCGCCAACTGAACGAACTCCTTCGCCACAGAAGAAGCTCGGACACTGTAGTGCTGGCTGGGGATCTGAACGCTCAAGTTGGAAAATTATCCACAGATGAGCTGCATCTGGGCGGCCAACATGGTATAGGCTCCCTTAATGATAACGGTGAGCGGTTACTTCATTTGTGTGAGGATGCTCGCTTATTTCTTGCGAGCACTAATTTCAGACATAGCACCCGCCGAAGGGTGACTTGGCGCCCACCAGCCTTGAAGCAGCTAAGGACGCAAATCGATCACATTGCTATCAGTTACCGCTGGAGAGGCTGCGTCCAGAACTGTCGCTCGATTTGGAGCACAGGTGTTGACACCGATCATGCACTTGTAGGCGCTGACCTGCGGATGCGCTTTGCCCGACGCCCGCGACGATGTTGTGAGCGCATTAACACCGGCAGACTGGTGAAGCCAGCTGTTCTGAACGCCTATCAAATTACGCTGTCATCCGAGTTGGATAAACGCTCACTGGATGCAATTGAAGCTCACTGGTCTCATATGCAACAGGCCTTACTAGCAGCAGGCAAATCCTCATGTGGTATGTCCAATCGCCAACATGGACATTGGGTCTCTTCACACTCTCTGGAACTTATAGATGCTCGCCGGCATATTCCGGCTGGAAGCAAACACAATGAAACTCGCAAAGAGCTCCGGGCAAAACTCCGTGCTAGCCTGAAGAGAGACCGCGAATCTTGGTGGTCTCGTCGTGCAACAGAGATGGAAATGGCAGCTGCCTTTGGTAACCATCGTGAGTTATTTCGTCTTATACGGGAAACGGGCAGCAGGAGACCTGGTGTTAGTGCAAATATACGTGACGAGAGTGGACAGCCTATTCACAACTTGTCAAAACGCTTAGAGCGTTGGGCTGAGCACTTTGAAAGGCAATTTAATCGGTCGGAATTGTTAGATTTCTCGCCGACCAATGATCGCCCTGCTCCGTGGGCTGTTCCTTTGGATCCACCCTCTCGCTCAGAAGTCGAACGTGAGATCCGACTGTTGAAGTTAAATAAAGCCGCGGGACCTGATGACCTTCCTCCAGCCCTCTTCAAATTCGGGGGACCTGCTGTTGTGGATGATTTACATGAGTTACTAGTGAAACTGTGGGGACAGGAAACTGTCCCAACCGATTGGAGCCGCTCCATCATAGTCCCAATTTTCAAAGCATGCTCACGGTCGGAATGCCGCAGCCATAAAGGAATCAATCTGATCTCCATCGCCTCAAAATTACTCGCCTCAGTCATCCTTCACAGACTGACCGACACTCTTGAAACCCAGGTTCGCGAAGAGCAAGCTGGATTTCGTCGACGTCGTGGCTGCATTGACCACATCTTCACCTTGCGTCAGTTGTTGGAGCCCCGTCACATATATTGGCGGCCCACCGTTGTCGTGTTCCTCCATATCAAAGGTGCATTCGATTCGGTGAATAGACATGCACTTTGGGACTGTCTATTCAGGAAAGGTGTACCTGAGAAATATGTGAATATTATCCGAGCATTGTATGCGCGTAGCTCGGGCAGAGTGAGGGCTTACGGCAAGTTGTCGTCGTCCTTTAATCTCCCCAGCGGCGTGAGACAAGGATGCCCGCTGTCACCTTTCCTCTTCAACTTCGCTGTTGACGAAGTCATGGAAATCGCGTTCACAGGACACGACTTAGAAGGTGTGGAGCTACTCCCAGGAGAACGACTTCTTGACTTAGAGTATGCTGATGATATTGCCCTGATCTGTGACAGCTCACAAACGTGCCAAGCGGCACTGGACAGATTAGCACTAGCTGTCCGTCACTTCGGGCTTTGCTTCGCACCCTCGAAGTGCAAAGCGTTTCTCCAAGATTGGTCTGGACCGCCTCCTACTCTGACCCTTGGTGGGGATCAGCTAGAAGTCGTTCAAAACTTCAACTACCTGGGAAGTTGTATCAGCGCCCATGGGATTGAAGATGAAATCACGAATCGTATAGCAAAAGCTCGGGGCGCTTTTGCTAATCTTCGCCACTTGTGGCGCCGGCGCGACATCACTCTCACCCTGAAGGGTAGAGTGTACAATGCAGCAGTACGTTCGACCCTACTGTACGGTTGTGAAACCTGGCCGCTTAAAGCAGCGGACCTGAAGAGGGTAGTTACGTTCGACCACCGGTGCCTTTGTAATTTAGCTCACATCTGGTGGGAACACCGCGTGAGCAACGAGCGTGTTCGACGCCTTGTTTATGGCACAGGAAAAGGAAATGAACCGCTCATCACCGTTATTTCACGCATCAGGCTCCGATGGCTCGGCCACGTGTTACGCATACCAGCCCACCGACTTCCGTGATGTGTGTTGTTTGCGCTCCGGGGGTGTGGATGAAGAAGAGGAGAGGTGGCCAAGCGATGACTTGGTCCAGAGGAATGAAGTCCCTCACTTCTGAGCTGGCCTCGCTTGGAGCGTCTCGGCTCCCTGGTTGAGGTCCGAAAGACGATGAACACGTTTGGTTGGACACACTTGCTGATATGGCTAGGAGCCGACCTCAGTGGCGTTCATGCTGTGAGTTTCTTTGTCCCACCCCATCCCTCTTAGCCTCCCCCTCCAACCACGATCTCATTATTTAGCCTTATATAATTTTGCATAATAATTTTTTTTGGTGCACAGCAGCCGGCTGGTAGCTTACCGGAACGATGCCCATCTGTTACCAGTAGCTCAGCCCGCTTGCATCAGTTGCATTTTCCCCCTTTTTTCTACGTATTGCGGCACAGTAGCTGAGGTGTTCCCCACCTCTAGCTAACGGGTATGATGCTGTTGATGATGATGGACCCAACACTTTGCAAAACATTTTTACCAATCTGATGATCACCTTTGGTTGGGCACACTTGCTGAGGTGGCGAAGAGCCGACCCGAATGGCGTTTGTTGTGAGTTTCTCTGTTCACCCCCTCCCCTTCAGACCCCCCCACTTGCGATCTCATGCAAACTGCATATAATGTTCAGCATTTATGTTACTTACTTTTCGACTTCTTTGTGTTGTAAATTTTCAGTATCGTGTCTTTTGTATTGCTGCATATTAGCTGAACGGTGTTTCTCACTCTCGGCTAACGTGTACTGATGATGATGATGTGTCGTCATGCTGCTGATACCTTTTCTGATGCTGCTGTAGCCAAACAAAGCAATCTGTTTCGCTGATGGCGCTTCGTCATTTCCGAAAACCGGGACGACTCGTTGGCGATTATCGCAAATTGTCAATTCCAACCTTAAAATTGGCCAATGGCATTTCGCAGCTACAGTGGCATAGATCTTGTCACAATGGTCCTTTGCGAGTCGTACTGCTGCGGCTCAGTTTCTTCGGGAGCTAATCTGCCTTCCGTTCTTGTAAACGATCTACCCATCACATTTTTCACGTTTCTTCGTAAGAGGGCGATCAGCAATGCACCAGTGATACGTACCAATGTTTCGGCCGGTGGTCAAATAGATGAAGCCTCTGCCTTGTAACCTAAAAGTCGTCATTTCGGATCTGCGTATGCGCGGGCGACCTCGCAGTATCTCCAGCTCGCTCGCAGCTGGTGGTGGTCGCGTGTTAGCGAAGCATCGATGCCGTGCATCGGCGTCCCCGTCTGACCGTATTCTCTGCGGCCCTTGTTCGAGTTTTTTCGCCAACCGGTTGTTTTTATTTGAAGAGTCCAAACAGGGACGAACCACGTCTTAGAGGGTAGGTTTGCGAGCCGGCAATCATAATTGCATTTATGTTTTTATTATTCACACATCATACTTTTGTCTTCAGGCGTAACGTCGGGGGTACATAATGGTTATCAATTTCATTTCTGCGTCGCAGTTCTACTGCTTATCTAAATCCTAAACGGTTTCTATATTGTGTTATCCTTTTAATTGGTCAGTTACATCCTAGAGGTTTCTTTCCAGCCTAGAAGACGTGTTTTCATTTCTAAGCGATTGGCTTGGGTTTTACGGCACGGTGCCCACAAAGTCGGTCTAACTCTCACCAAAGGTACTGTTCCGCGCACCGCGAAAGTGATTCTTATAATACGGCTTTCAGGTGGTTATCTGTACGTGGATGATGTGCTTCAAACACCGTCGTTTCATGGTGTGACATTGGAAGATATCCGTCAAGTGGTTGATTCAGATGACAAGACTCGATCCGAGTTGTGGCCCTCACCTGAATCCGGTCGGCTCCGTGTCCGTGCTTTTCAGGGCCACCGCCTTCCTGTGAGTTCACTTCATGTGTTATGTTCTTGATGGACCTGTCAGGTACGACTGCGTTTCTGGTATGTCTCAAAAGTTGCTGAACATTATCGGCTACTCCAATAAATAGGATGGCTATCTCTAATGAGGTATGCTATACAAACCGTGGCAGTGTGCAGTTGCGAAATAAACAATCATCTTACTTTCGCCTCTCAGCGGCTTTATTTTTCACGCAATCATGACGCGGAACTTCGCATTCGCTTGTCATGCATATTGCTCGCTTTATTCTCATCTTAGAACACTTCACATTGGATCGTTGTTGCTGCGGCGTTCTTTATCTTATCTGTGATCAGCTTTCTGATTGCAGTCTTGCGATTTTGAATATAACCCATCTCGTTTCAGGGATGCCGTTTTACCGTTCCCCCATCGGTCTGATATCGGTGTTCTTCGGTTACTGTACAATCTAATCTAATAGAGTACAAAATGGCGATAAGTAGGCATTTAGTATACCTCAACTGTTCACTGTCTTGGTGTTTGGTTTCCTTATTATAGACATCTCAGACGGGAGCTCAGAGTCAGAGAGTAAAGGTGTGACTCGCGTTGTGCATTTGACTTCAAATCCGCGAGTTCTCGTTCACTCTGGAGCTCTGCTTACTGGGTCTACCATTGCCCACTGAAGGCCACCCTTTTGTCTTTGTGCATTGTTTTTACCTGACATTTCTGACAAGCATTCATAGGATCCGCCTATGTTTATCAGATGATAGGTATATAGTAGTTCATCTGATCCATGTTGGTGGCTCTACATTGTTAGCAACACGGTAACAAAAACAGTAAGGGAGATGCGCAGTGTTTTAGATGTATAGTGAAAAGACGTACTTTACCTCATGGGAATTCGGCTGAGTGAACAGACTCGTTTTTAGTGTCCCACACAGCGGAGATAACACGAGATCTCCTCTGTCTGCAGAGCATACGGGACAAAACTTCTGCATTGATTCCGGATGGTAATTTAGTGTGTAAACGTTTCTCAAATGTGTTTGCATCCTTTTCGTCAAACGGAATAACAACTTTTGCTCGTTGGCAGAATACGCGAACCATTAATGCACTCGTTTCTCCGTTCCGTTTTGCAGCGGTTGCTTCTGATAGTAATAGAGCTCGGTTGTAGTTCGTACAAGTGAATCGCAACAACCTCCGCGGCAACTTGGATTTCATTGTTTCTATTTCGTCCGAGCTCCATGGGCACGGCAAATAGATGAAACGCTTCTGACAACGTTGTGTGGACTCAATGCAGTCGGAATCGGGGTTATTATCTTCAAAGATGCCCTTAGCACCAGTGGCAGTCGTAGTACTGGTGATGCTTGGGGGCATTCGTTTCTCGACTTGCCTTTCACTGTAATTACACACGATTACTGGATACTTGCACCTACTGTAACGTTCGTCCGTCGAATGTTAAGTGACGCATAGGCAATGACCCCGAAGTCAGGACAAGTTTGGATCGCAATGTCTTCAGTACTCTTACGAAATATGCAATTACGGTAAGTGGGAAAACCTCACTCTTTCGGGGTCTCGGTATGTCAGCCTTGACAACCAAATGTGATTACATGGTTGGGATAGAAGAATGGGGCTGTTGCAGCCACTGTGCAAAGCAAACATCCAGAGGACAAGTGAGCGCACAATGTATGCGTGGAATTGTTGGCAAAGTCACGATGACCGACCATTGAGGGTCTAACCACAGGGTGTGGAAGAGGTCAGTGGCGGACAGGAGGCTGTAGTCAAGGTGAATGACCTCGTACACGTTGCTCGGGGAGTGACAGTTGACATTATATGGTGCCAACGCCTTGTTATTGGTGATGTTAAATCATGTACATGAGGCACCTGTTTCAATCGACATAAATTAAGACGAGGTCAAGTATTGTTGGAGGTGTTGAGGGGATAAACAAGTAAACAAGTGCTTGACTACTGAACAAAGATGATGAGCGTATGGACGAGTGAACAGGTAACAATGCAAACACGCGGGAGAGTGTAAGGTAATCATGATCAAAACATCGGGGGTTATTTAAGAAAATGCTCGACGAGTCCTCACGGCCACGAAGCAGTCATTGTAGGGACTGAAATGTACTTTCTTACGCCGCACCCAAGGATACGTTTCAGAGATTTTTGCTACGACCACGACTGCTTTGCGCTACACCACCCGGATTTCTATCAACACACCCCGCACCCAGTGAATCCGCAGTAGAGTGATCGGGAGGTATGTAGGTGGGAACCGTGATCGATTTGCATTCTACCCACACTTCTTCGACACGCACCTCAACCTTGTAAAGTCGGGGAATATACGCATATCGTAGTTATAAAGGATGGTGGTTGGACCGCAGTCCGCTTCGTAATACAAACACTCCTTGCGCCTAGCGCCATCACAGAAGCTGCGTCCCATCTCCCCAGCAACGCTTAACAGTCCGTTAAGCATGATAGCGAACTCGAATGTGTAGGAATTTTGTCAATACCCACAGACCACAGCCAAACTTGGTACTAAAAGTCAGCCTTGTGAGAACTTACGCACACTGGTACAAGCGTAGTGCAATCACAGTGTTAATTTGTATTGGCAGACGAGGTTGGAAGAAACCTCTTTTACTTGCATTGACCCTGATGTGGCCTATTCGCTGTCTCTTTGAATTGATCTCTTCAGGATCATCTTGGTGCCTCACCAGGTCGGTTCAGCTGAAGGATACGCGGCCTTGTGCACCACAACACCATGTGAACGATGACGTGTGACTAACATCTATCCACACTTGTAATTGACTTATTAAGCATTTTTGTTACTGATGCTCCAGTTATTTTTCTCGTATCGGGGCTACGACATTTTTAACGTGTTCAAGCCACTGTCAGCGACTTACTGTCATTTCTTCCTAGCACATGCAACTAGCGTTAATTTTTGACAACTTCGTGTTGGTCATGTCTGGTTAGCGCATGTTCTGTCTGCATATATCCCATCCTACACTCATTTGGCCATTCATTAGGTGTTTCTGCTGCCTTCATTCGGGGGCTGTGACTAAACCACCTGGTGTGCCGTAGCAGTAGCAGCATGTAGAGCATTCCGTGGGTACTGCTGCTATGGTTCTGTTCGGGTACGCAAAGTCTGCTGCACCCGTTGTTTATGAGATCGTTTCAAATAAGGATGCTTTGTGTAGCACCCGTGTGTCACTGCGATAGAGGGGAACCGACACCACACACTCGCCTAAGTACGCAGCTCGCGTGTTATCCACAAGTCACTTGACGGTGGACTTCGAGGTGGCAAAAGTCCGACTCAGTCGGTAACACTATTCGTCAACTCGGATTTGCAGGGCAGTACACCCACTTCATTCCAATTGGCAGCTGAAATGGCATGCAGCGTTTTCTGCGTTTCTGATGAATTCGAAATTGTCAACTGTCGAATCGGTATCGTCGTTATACGTTGTTACTCATCATCGCTGTATGCAAACAATGCGCAGTTGTCTGTGAACAACAGCGCCGTGGTGATCGTCTCTTACTAGGCTTCTCTTTCCCAAACGATATATCTTCAGCATCCCACTATCCGTGTGATGCTCGAGACGGACACCAGCTTTATTTGCATCGAATTCATATTGCATCATCTTGGTTAGAATAAGTAAAAGTGGTCAGGATTAAGACAGCCTTGTTTCACCCCTTAGATGGCTGAAAACTCATCTGGGGTTTTGCCGCAGCACCTCACTCTAACTTGCCTACAACTGTGGTGGTATTTGTTTGGCAGAATATACTTAATCGGGCTTCGGAACCTACACTCCTTGTGAACCGTTCCGCAATATGCTTTCTGGTATGTTCGGAAAACTCGCTTACGTCGGTTCACGTAGCTTATTCCAGAGAACGAACGAGTTTTTGTACCAAGAATACGGTGTAGCCCACAGGCATTTTGTCAACCGCAAGGGAGTGCTTACCAGATTACACGTAAAACGTGACCGAAATCGTGAAGCATTATATGTGACTGCTTCGCTTTTTCTAGTTTTCCCCCTAAGGTTATCAACCATCGTTCTAGCAGCACACTGACCAGGTCCGATCCTTCTCCATCATATGCTTCTCGAGAGACTGGTTCAGTGTCTATGTTTCCTTGCCTTGCGTTTTCTATGGGTAGCACACAATCTCCATTGTCGACAAGCTCCTTATGGCTATGTGCTCTGGTTCGGTAGTATCCGTGTGCACACCTTGTTAGTCCTTGTAAGCAGAGTGAATGCGATATTATTTTTAATGGAGCAGTTTATGTTAGCGAAACGAGCTTCGTTTTAAATGTTCTAACCTCCAGTGTATTCCATGTTGTACGGTTCAACCTAATAGACGCAATACATGAAAGCTCAAAGTCTAAGTCCGTGTGTTGCGGCCTTCTATGTGTCGTGAACGTACCGACCTCCAAAGCCCAAACCTTCGACCCAGAATAGAAGTCGTAAGAAGTCACCATCGAACACTGTTTCGAGAAGACAAAACGAGGTACATAGGAGACAATTTCATTAGCTTATGAAGTCCTCCTACACAATGACCTTAAAACTGTCAAACTGTCCTTGGTTGAGGCAAGACCACAATTATGAGACAAACGAGTCATCTTCTAGCCGGAACGCTGAACGCTCTATCCGATCGATTTCGTTAGGGTCTGCGTCCCCTAACACCCTGTAACGAGCTTGTTCCTACACTAAAACTGATACCTTTATAAGCCTAGTTATATTTCAGCAATATTTTGTCTTGTCGCCCATTTGTAGCTATACACAATAGGTCATCCATGTATCTTCTTTGAATCGGCTCATTCAGCGTGTCAGAGAGCCCACTAGTTATCCGTACGGTGCATGAAACACTTGTTAGTTACAACTGAGGACCACGTATTGCGCGAGTATTAGCTGCAGATTGCGGCGCTCAGCGGCCGATGATAAATACATAACTGGTATATTCTCGACAAAGCGAGACACGCCTTCGCAGGCATGATCAGAGTAAAGCTACACGAATGACCGGTAAATGTACCAATTCGTCACACCTTTTGCCGGTTAAAGTGAATGTATGTTGCATGAATACAAATATGAAGGTATGTATGCGTACAGCTGTGGTTTGTGTTTGTAAATGTGCTGTTATATTTGTGATTGTGTTCTGTCAGATCGTCAGTGCGAAATGGTCATTGAAATTCATCAAGGTAGATAAACGCGTCCGCAGGTTGGGTAAGATCGTTTGGAAAGGCAAGGAGCAGTGACTATTTTGTAGCGAGTCACATCCGCCATTTCGCGTTGTTGTTAAGCAGACACTTGTGACTTTAAAGGGAGAACGCTTGCCAGGCGGAAACCCACCACGTCTTGAAACACTGCCGCCGAACCACCCAGCTGGCACCACGGGGAAGTTGTTCGGCGAGCCAGCCACCGAGGTTACTCCATACTAGCATACATACGCTCGCCACATCAACGGCATCTTGGATATTATTTAATTCTTAGCGTTCATACCACAGGTGCCATACTTCTGCACAAACATGTTCAAAGCACTTAGCCACACGTGACTCCTTCGTCACCTTGAGTGACCCGATATTCACTGCTCTGGCGGTTTTGCCTATCGGATCTTTGCTGATCCAGTTTAGCTTATATCACTGGAGCTCTCTGAAACATATGCTACTTTCATCACGTTTACCTGCCCAGTTCACCATCCGTTTATCCCTTAGCGAATCTTTGAAAAGACGCATCACAGGTTCTTGGGTCATGCGTCATACCGGTACTAATCAGAAAAGTAGGCTGCTCCAATCATCTACCCGTGTCCCACATGTTTCCCACATTGCTTTTCTGGGTGCTGTTCTATTGCTCATCCGTTACGGAAAACCTGCTTGCCCATTTCGCTTTGTATTCACATGACTACCGTAATGATAACCGTGAGCGGTTACTTCATTCGTGTGAGGGTGCCTGCTTATTTCTTGCGAACACTAACTTCCGACACAACATTCGCCGGAGGGGGACTTGGCGCCCACCAGCCTTAGGAGCAAATCGATCACATTGCAATCAGTTACCGCTGGAGAGGCTGCGTCCAGAACTTTCGCTCGATGTGGAACACATGTGTGGACACTGACCATGCACTTGTATGTGCTGACATGCGGATGCGTGTTGGGGGACGCCTACAACGACGCTGTGAGCGCATTGACACCAGCCAACTGGCGAAGCCAGCTGTTCTGAATGCGTATCGAAATACGCTGACATGCGGGTTAAGTAAGCGCTCACTGGAGACAATTGAACGTCACTGGTCGCATGTTCACCTGACCTTACTAGCAGCAGGCGAATCCTCATGTAGTCAGTCTAATAGCCAACTTGCACATTGGGTCTCTTCGCAGTCTCTGGAACTTATCGATGCTCGCCGGCATATTGCGGCTAGAAGCGAACACAATAAAACTCGCAAAGACCTCCAGACAAAACTTCGTGCTAGCCTGTAGAGAGACCGCGAATCCTGGTGGTCTCTTCGTGCGTCAGAGATGGAATTGGCCGCTACCCTTCATAACCATCGTAAGTTATTCCGGCTGATACGGGAAACGGGCAACAGGAGACCTGATGTTAGTGAAACAATTTATGACGAGAGTGAACAGACTTCACAACTTGTCAAAACGTTTGGAGCCTTAGGCTGAACATTTTGAAAAGCAATTTAATCGGCCGGAAGTATTAGATTCTTCACCGGCCAATGATCGCCCTGCTCCCTGGGCTGTCCCTTTGGATCCGCCCTCGCTCAGAAATCGAACGTGACATCGGACTGTGGAAATTAAACGAGGCCTGGGACCAGATGTTCTACATCCAGTCCTGTTCAAATTCAGGAGCGCTACTCTTTTTGTTTATTTACACGAATTACTAGTGGAACTGTGGGAGCAGGAAATTGTCCCAACCGACTGGAGCCGTTCTCTTATAGTCCCGATCTTCAAAAGAAGCTCGCTTTCGGAATGCGGCAGCCATGGAGGAATCAGTCTGATCCCCATCGCCTCCAAATTACTTACCTCCGTAATGCTTCACAGACTGACTGGCGCTCGTGAAAACCAAATACGTGTAGAGTAAGCCGGGTTTCGTCGGGGTCGTGGCTGCATCGACCACATCTTCACTTTGTGTCATTTGTTGGAGCACCGTCGCACATGTCGGCGGCCCACCGTTGTCGTGTTCCTCGACACCAAAGGTGCCTTCGATTCCGTTGATCGATGTGCCCTTTGGGACTGTCTACTCAGGAAACTATGTACAAATTATCTGCGCATTATACCCGCATAGCATGGGCAGAGTGAGGGCTTACAGCAGGTTGTCGCCACCCTTCAATATCTCCAGCGGTGTGAAACAAGGATGCCCGCTGTCACCTTTCCTCTTCAATTTCGCTATTGACGAACTCACGGAGATTCCATTCACGGGACACTACTTAGAGGGTATGGAGCTACTCTCAGGAGAACGACTTCTTGACTTATAGTATGCCTACAATATCGCCTTCATCTGTGACAGCTCCCAGATGTGCCAAGCTGCACTGGACAGATTAGCACTGGCTGTCAGCCGCTTCGGGCTTTGCTTTGCACCCTTGAAATGCATACCTCTCTTCCGAGATTGGCAGGGATCGCCTCCTGCGCCGACCTTTGATGGAGAGCAGCTAGAAGTCGTTCAGAAACTCAACTACCTGGGAAGTTTTATCAGCGCCTTTGGTATCGGAGATGAGCTCACAAACCGTATACTAAAAGCTCGAGGTCCTCTTGCTAGCTTTCGCCACCTATGGCGCCGGCGCGACATCACTCACCCTGAGGAGCAGAATGTACAATGCAGCTGTACCTTCAACCCTACTGCACGGCTGCGAAACTTGGCCCTTTAGATCAGCGGACATACAGAGGCTAGTTACCTTCGACCACCGGTGCCTTAGTAGTTTGGCTCACATCTGGTGGGAACACCGCGTGAGCAACGAGCGTGTTCGACGCCTTATTCACGGCACAGGAAATGGAAATGAACCGCTCCGCACCGTCATTTCACGCACCAGGCTCCGATGGCTCGGCCACGTGTTAGGCATGCCGGCTGCCGTGACGTTTGTTGTTTACTTGCCGGGGATGTGGATGGAAGTGGAGGAGAGGTGGCCAAGAAGTGACTTTGTCGAAAGGAATAAAGGCCCTCACTCCGGAGCTGGCCTCGGTTTGAGCGTCATGGCTCCCTGATTGGAGTCCAAAAGACGATGAATACGTTTGGCTAGATACACTTGCTGACATGGCTAGGAGACAACCTTGATGGCGTTCCTGTTATGAGTTCCTTTGTTCCTCCCCATCCCTTTTAGCCTCCCCTTCAAACCATGATCTCATTTCGAAGCATAATATAATATTACATAATACTTTTTTGTTGCCTCGTAGCCGGTTGGTAGCTTTCGGGAACGATTCCCATCCGTTGCTGGTAGCTCAGCTGGCATGCAACTGTTGCATTTCTTTTCTTTTTTTCTTTTATGTATTACGGCACAGTAGCTGAGGTGTTTTACACCTCTAGCTAACGTGTATCATGATGAATGATGAACTTCCATGGTGTGAACACTGTAGTCTTATTCTATGTTTCATCTTCGTGTACTCTCGGCATCTCTCCTTCGCAGGAATCATGTTCCCATCGTTTAGTTGCTCCATCCCAAACTTCCGGTGCGTTTCTCTTCGCTTAAGTGACTGAATAAGGAGACAAAAGACACGCCATATCGTTCTGTGCATCAGTGGTAGGCGCCAAGTGGGATACCAGGGTTTATTTTAGTCATTCCATTCAGGTTTCGGCGTTTCGTAGTTACAGCTCGTCCGCTATACCTTCCAAGGCCAGGAAAGTGACGATGCCCCACCTGTTGACAATAGCTGTTGAAAGGGAAATCTGCACTTAACTACGTTTTCTTAGCATTGCAGAATCTCATGGATTGTTAACAACTACCAGCCTATACTTACTTGTCTACGTTCCCCACTCCATTCATTGGGTATTGAAGTTGCTCTGTTGAGGAAGATGTTCGAGTTCTTCAAGCATGTGTTGGGAGTGTAGACCGTAGTCTCAACATGCTCCGTTGCAATAAGGTGATTGTTGTACTCCCCTTGTTCATTAACACCACTTTATTATTGCGAGTTGCTTTTATCTCTCTATCGCTGATTAGATTGAGGATATGGACCTTACTCCCATAACCGATCCCAGTCATTATCCTGTGGTCGTGCACGGAACGTACATCCGAAACTGGGAACGCATCCGTGTGGAAGGGCTGAAACGGATGTCTCGTACTCACATTCACTTCGCCCCTGGGGAGCCGGGTGAGGCCGATGTGATTAGCGGGATGCGGTCCAATGCGGAGTTGGTCATTCACATCGATTTGGCAAAGGCCTTGCACGATGGGTTCAAATTCTACCTGTCACAAAATCGGGTTATCCTGACCGAAGGGGATTCACAAGGTTGTCTGCCTCCAGCGTACTTCACTGCGGTTTACCAACGTAATCCACGTGAGTCTGGGACACTGATATTCCTCTCCCGTTTCGAATTCTTCTCCTCATTGGCCGACACTCACTTTACTCTCACTCCGCACCTTTTTCTAATTTTGACCTTTCGTAGTGTCGACTGCGTTTACGTACTATTACGCCTCGTTACTAAATTTTCTTTCTCTGGGACACATGATGTAGATGAACACTTTTGTATGCTCGATCTTTTTAAGTCTGCATCTTAGGAACTCCAATGTCAGTGTCATCTCTGTCGGTTCTCCATTAACCGAAGGTGGGGTTTTATTCTCGTATCTGAAAACCCACATTCGATAGAACTATTTCCGTATACTTTTACTACCTAATCCGAGACAGTGTTGTCTTATGCTGAATCAGGCTCCACTAGGCTCTCTTTGTTGTGCTTATTGTCTATGTTGTTTAGCGAGTATCATGTCTACTGTGTCCCTTGCATTCATCCTTTTGACATCTAGACGCTGTTACTCAACGCCTGTTCCGGCCCACAAACGTCTCACCAGCATTTTTGAAGGCGATAAATTCCACTCATAGTGCGAGGATTGTGCTTTGTTTGCCGCCTCTCGGCCATCGCAATGAAACTGGACCTTATTGTTGTACGATAGTTTACTTAACTCACTATTCCATTAAGCTGTCCTGGGTGGTGTTTCTTGCACCTTCAGAGTCACTCCTACCAGATTGGTCAATTGTTAGATGCCAGACAAACTTAGTCTTCCGATTCTTCAGGTTGGGGTCGGAATGCAGCTGTCTCCTTATCCCTTAAGCGGACTCTTTGTAACTCAGTGCCAAAATCTCGCTGCTTTGTGATCAGGTTTTTGAATCAAAAGCTACGGCATGTTGGTGTAATAATATGTAGAAATTACTATATGTAGTTCGACCTCGACGCTCATGCAGGATCAGCAGATGTCGGGAGGAGAGACGCAGCTTGTCTGTTATATCCGCGTACGCTCCAATTGACCGCATTTATGACCCTCTCAAGGATGGCCTTTATCATTAACTTCACCAGCTCGTGAGCAGAGCTTGTCAATCCGATATTGTTGTCCCTGCTGGGGATTTCAACGCACGGGTCTATCGTTTGTTACCATGTGGATGTCATCTCAGTGGTCATCATGTGCTCGATGAGAGCCGTCCAGATAACGGAGACATCTCACACTATGTGAAGACAATCACCTGTTTCTCTCGAGCACCACCTTCAGGCATACGAAGAGGCGTTCCGTGGTCTCAATTTGATCACATCGCAATCGGTTTCAGATGGCGGGGTAGTGTACGGCAGTGGTCTCCAACTTTTTATCGCCGCGGACCGGTCAACGTTTGCTAATTTTATCGCGGCCCGCTGATTGTCTATCTTTTAGATTGTTTTTTAATATTTTTAATGTAACCCTATTTAAACATGCCGCAAAATAAACTACAGTTACACCAAAAATGAATATAAAGTGAAATAGCATGTTGACTCACTAGAGCGCTAAGTCAATACGAATCCTGAGCTTGTTTCTCTGCAACGTGACTGTTCCATCTGGGGGTAGTGGGAGACAATGATACCCGAAGCATGTTGCTTATGTCCAGTTTGTTCCGTTGTTTTGTTATGGTTGCTGTCACTGCTGGAAACCCCGCTTCCCACAGATAGGATGTCGGAAATGACAATAGTGTTTTAAGTGCTGTGGTGACAATCTGAGGATAATCCACCATGACTTTCATCCAGAACACCGGCAGAGTTGTTGTCTCGAACGTAGTTTTAAGGCCGCCGTCATTTGCTATCTACAGCAGTTGCACTTCTTCTTGCATCGACATACTAGATTCGCCTGGCTTGTTGACAATTTGGTCTCGGACCCATTCATTACAAGTTCGTGGGTCTTTTTTGGTTGGGAAGTAATGCTCGAACTCTTAAAAGCAGACAGGTGATAATGCACCAACTGGGAGAATGAATGTCCAGGGTTAGTCTAGCCTAAAATCCTCGCCAATATTTGAAACATGTCCAAAATGCCTCTGTTCACGCGCCGTCCCCAGAACTACAGTTTAGCTTTAAAGGCAGCTATTCTGTCTGCCAACTTGAAAACAGTTGTCGTTTTCCCCTGATTGAATAGATTGAGTTCATTGAGCAGGCTGAATATGCCACACAGTTAAGCCATTTTGTGACCCACACCTTGTCACTGAAATGTGCTGCCAGGGCCACTTCTTTTCTGAGGGAAATCTTTGCAATGGCTATCGTAATTTAAATTCTCTGCTTAGCGATTTTCCTCTGGATAACCATGTTATTTATGTGTACAAAAGTAGACATCTGTGCTCTGCGTCCATCTCCTCACAAAGCTGCTCAAACAGGCGCGAGTTAGGAGCGTGTGTTTTGATGTGGTTAATAATTTGAACGACATCAATTAATCTGTTCTTAAGTGCCGGTGACATTTTCGGCTTGCCAACACTTCCCTGTGAATGACACAATGCGTAGATTCACTCTTAGGTGCAACCTCCTTAATCCGAGCAGTTAGACCAGACAGTCGTCCGGTACTGACAGAAGCTCTGTCTGTGCACATTCCGACGCAAAAGACCATTTGAGTTGTCCTGGTCTATAACCATCCAGTGACTTGAACAGTTCTGCTCTTGTGGTGTTGGTTGGCAAATATAGTGCATATAACAAATCCTCGTGCACATCCTCCTGATAAAGATATCCACATAAACAAGTAGTATTGCCTTGTTGTCGAAATCTGTAGATTCATCAATCTGGAGTGCATACCACGGTGATGTGTTAATCCTCTCCAAAAATTTTGTCTCAATGTCTTCGGCTATTTCTTCAATTCGCCTAGTCACAGTATTAGCCGACATAGGCACATGTGCTATCATTTTAATATCAGCCTCTCCTAGAACTTCACATTAAATGTCTTTACTGGAGGGCAAGATCAATTCGTCACCGATAGTGAATGGCTTTTCAGCCTTAGGAATACGGTTAGCCACCAAATATGATGCTCTCAGGGCATTCTCCTTTATTGATGTGGTGGTCCTCAGAAATTTACTCTATCTTTCGTGTTCCCATTCATTTTCTTTCAAAATACTTCAGAGGCTTGTCTTTTAATCCAGGGTGCTTTGTGTTCAAGTGCCGAAGCAGTTTTGAAGGTTTCGTTGCCTCATTAGAGAGCCGGTCGCCGCAAACTGTGTGTGAGAATCACCTGTCTCGATTAATCCATATTTCAAGTAGGGCTCGTAGTATTGTTTGGTAAAAATTTTGTTTCTTTGATGTTGTATGCTGTACTTCTCTCTCTTCAGTGGGCCCTTTCTTTTTCCCAAGGAAACTTTCTAACTACATCTATCTCGTACTCGTTCTTGCTAAGTTGTGGGTTAAATTTGAATGCTCAGTTGACCGAGATGCAACCTGGAAAAGAATACACCGTTAAACTTATATAGTAACTGTGGACGAAAAAGGGCAAAAATAAAACACGATACACGCACACCAAGCACTCTTAAGCATGAGAAAGTACCGGGGAACAGAGAGAAGAGCGTTACACATTTTCTCTCCACCAAAGCTACAACGCCACTGCCACTCGCAGCCGCTCAGCTCCCGCTTAACCTCTCGTCCATGGAAAGTCGCACAATCCCGAGAGAAATACACCACAGTAAATAAAATGGGAATAATTTAATGTTTCTTGGACGGCCCGGGGGTTGGAGACCACCGGTGTACGGGATTGCAGATCAATCTGGTCTACGTTTCTTGATCTAGACCATGGTCTCGTCTATGCAAACATCTGCATGGATTTCAGGGGTTCCCGAAAACGAAGCAATTTGAGGTTGGTGCAGGTAAACGGGCTACTCCCTGTTCAGCTGAGTTATTAATCTTTCCTATCAGATGCACTCAGTTGCGATACATCGCAAGATTTTGACCAACATTGGACTTCCATGCAGATGACCATGATGTCTTCCAGATAATCAATCTGCGGTCTTAGTCGTCAACCTATGAAAGCTTGGATCTCCATGCGCCCCTTGGATCTGTTTGACTATCGTAGAAATATTCCAGCGGAGTCTGATCAGAGGGAGGCGTGCCGTTCTGTCAATCGGCACTTGAAACAATGCTAACGTAATGATCGCGATGCCTCGTGATCGCAGCGCGCTTCGGGAAATAGTGACCGCTGCTCTATCGGGCAATACTCGCAGGCTCTTCCAGCTCATTTGATCTAATGGCCACAGGATGCTTCGTGTCAGTGAGACTATGTACAAAGCGGATGATTCATCGATCGCTAACCTACGGGGATGCTTGAATTGATGGGCCGAACATTTTCGTTCCCAGTTCAATTACTGAATACTGTATTATAGAGCAAGTAGAAATGAATTCTGTACAACTCTTTCGAAATTTGGTGAAAAACGTTATAAAAGTTGTCAACCGTGAATACCGTTGTCGTTCTCATGTAACATTTAAAATATCTGACTTACGATATTTCAGGATTCACGAATGTGATATGTCATCGTAAGTGTGCAATCGTTCTCTGAATCGAATAGTGGTAAAATATAAATCTAACGACGTTTTGAACTGCTGCACAGATGTTGCCTCAATCACATGTTCAGATAAACTGTTCCAAATGTTTACCACTCTCCGTTCGAAGCACAGTGGGTGGGGAACACATTTCACATCCGGCACGACAAGTTTGTATCTGTGACCGTGTGTGCTACATGGCCCTCGTAAGTGCAGCATTGGCCTTAACATTGGGAAGTCACCGAGATGTAGAATACGGTAGGTCATAATGAGGTCGACTCGCATCCGACGGTAGGACAAGGTGTAGAGTCCTAGTTTCTCGCACCGGTCTTCATACCCCAAGCCACGTAAACTCGGGATGAGCCTGATAGCAACGTGTTGGACCCGTTCGATCTTTTGTGCCTCGCCTCGGGTAATCGGAAAGTAGGCGGGCGAACCGTACTCTAGCATTGGTCTAATGATGGAAGAGAAGAGACGAGTGGCAACCTCTTCAGACCATGTGCCGAAGCTACGTTTGAGCGCCCAAAGCATGCGCAGTCCGTTACGATATAGCCTGTTCGTGTTGTCCACGGACTTCAAATCGTAGCGCGAGAGTACACCTAGGTCCTTCACGGAGGGTGTGGGATATAGCGGTTGGCCGTCAAGGGTGTAGGTTCGGCCGTCAGCACCCTTCCCCAGGCTCAAAAATACAGACTTGGCTGGGTTGATCGGGAGAAGAACTTCTGCAGACCATGTGGATAGGCGGTTGAGGTCTTGCTGAAGTAGACCACAGTCATCGGGAGCGTCGATTTCTCTCCAAATCTTCATGTCGTCCGCAAACAAGGCACGCGGCAACCGGAGAAGCTGCGGTAGATCCTTGATGTGGATCAGGAACAGAGTGGGCCCCAGCACAGTGCCTTGAGGCACGCCACTTGTAGATGGGTACCAGCCAGTTAGATAGTCGTCGACCTGTACCCTCCACTTTCGTCCAACAAGAAAGTCGCGGCTCCACCGGTGCAGTGAGCCACCGACACCACACATTCTGAGTTTGTGAAGGAGAACCTCAATGCTGACCTTTACTGAAATCGATGAATATCACGTCGACGGACTTCTCCTTGCTTATTGCCTTCAACCACTCATGCCTCGTCACAAGCAGGTTGGTAATGCATGAGCGGCCTTGCATAAAACCGTGCTGTGCAGGCGTCAGGACCTCGTTTGACTGTAGCAACTGCAGCAATCCCTTCTTCACGATTTTCTCAGCAACCTTTGCCAAAATAGGTGTCAGACAATTTGGCCTGTAGTTGTCTACTTTGCTAGGGTCGCCGCCTTTCGGAATAGGCTTCACCACCGAACATTTCCAGTCAACCGGCAACGAACCTTCGGACAGCGACCTGTTGAAAAGGTCAGTCATGACAGGAGAGAGGATGGTCGAAAGTGACTTGAGAACCAGTGGGTGAAGCCTATCAGGTCCGGCAGGTTTGGTGCCGTCAAGGTTGGTGAATAGTTGACCTACTTCTTCAACGCCGCAATGCAGACCATCAAGCTTGGTAAGAGCGGTACACGTCGAACTCGGGACAGACACCTGGTTATTCGCAAATACAGAAACGAATTGTGCCGCCAACGCGGACGCACGCTCAGTGCTGGAGGTTAGGGGCTGTCCATCCGGGCCATCCAGCACTGGCACATCACCTGCCCGCTTCAGACGTTGCTTCACGTATACAAAAATTCTATTTGGGGCGGTCTTCGCGGCTACTGCTAGTTGCTCTTTGAAATGTCGGCGTTTACTCTTTTTTGCACTGTTGCAGAGGTTCCGCTGACATTTATACCCTTCGTAATCATTGGCAGAGCCAGAGAGGAGGAATTTGTCCCACAGTCTGCGCCGCAACCAAGCTAGATTTTCATACTCTTTGTCAAACCAATGATGCTTAATCGGTCCATCCTTCCGCTATTTCAATGGCACAACCTCTCTTTTATAAATGTCCAACACTCTTCCACAGATGCAGCTTGTGACAGAGACCAATCGTGTTGGCTCGCGGTTCGAGCTAGACCACCGAAGTCCGTTTTCCATTAGTTGGGAGCTGGTTCCAGCGGACGTGAATACGGCAAAGATAATTCCATGTCAGCTATGAGCACTTAATGGTCGCTTGTAGCCAGGGGCTCCAGGATCCTAACGTCACGCACTCGTTGTTCGTAGCTCGTTAATATCAGGTCGAGACAGGACGGGGTCGAACGTGTTGTTACGCGTGTTGGCTGGCGTATGTGTTGCGATGCATCAGTTTCAAGTACCAAACCCACGAACTTTGCTTCAACTTCACTATGTCCAGGCATCAACTGCACATCAGGCCGTCCTATTCGAGGACAGTTAAAATCGCCCATAAGTAGAAAGTGTGGACGACTCATATGGGTTCGAAGAATGGGCAGCCAATCCAAACAACGACTCAGGGGACTGCGATAAACTGCGCCCACAAGCAGTTCTCCGCGCCTGATACGGATGGAGCACCACAGTATCTCACACAAACCATCGTCACTTCGGTAGGTGCTCACAAGTCTCCTACGCAAGGAAGACCGGATTTAAAGTAAGACACCACTGTGGGCATTCTTTAGTCTATCGCATCGGAAGCACGAGTAACCGCTGAGTTCAGGTTCTTGGGTGTATAACTCTGCATGCAGCCATGTCTCTGCGAGTCCCACTATGTCTGGCCGCTCAGACGCAACGAAACAACAAAGCTCCTCGCGCTTATTCATAACACTGCAAACGTTTGTGCAGGCTACTCGCAGGCCGCAACAGGAGCCGCCGGGCGTGCTTGAAGTGTGAGCAGCCTGTTTATCCTGATTCGCGGATTGTTGGAAACCACCCGAAAATTTACCATACGAAGATTTGTTTCCCCCTCACCAGTGCGTCTTTTCAGCTCATTGATGGCAGACTTGAGCCCCTCCCTGTCTACTGGGTCCAGGTCTGGACGAACATGGATCTTCAAACCTTTCAGCCTACTTAGGCGGAACATGATCAGTCTTGGACTGGCTTCGTCCACAAAAGTGATTCTCATAGGCCGATTTCGTTGATCACCTTGTTTTCCAAGACGGGTCATTTGTCTCACTTTTACCGAGTCCTCATCAGCGTCGAGGAATCTGTCAATTAGACCCTGTAAAAACTCGACATCGTGATCGTAGCGCACTTGGGGTGACGGATCACTGGACTCCGGTGCGTGAAAGATCACGAGATTATAACGCCTCTGGTCGGACGAGGTTGACCTTGCAGGGCGAAGTATACTACCAGCCTCACCTGGTTTGGCTAACTGTTGACTTACAGAACTTAAACGTCTAACGTCCCTTCGGAATTTCGTTTTTTGTTCTTTCCACTGGCTTTCAGCATTCAGACTTTCATCTGCTGGGACATGCGAACCCAGTTGCGTGCCCTGGGTCGTCAAACTTGAATCACCCAGCAAGGCGAAGTTTGCCTTGCATTTCGGCAATTGAAGCGATATATATATGTATATACTTATCACGGATTCGTTACTAACCAACTTACTTCATATGGCAATTTAGCGAAGAGTTACGCCACCGTATTTGTGTGCATTATACAATTTATTTTATTTCATCTTGTCATTCCAAGTGATTGGCTGTTGCTTGATATCCCCGGTGTGGCTGCGCTTGATGTGCATGTTGTCTATTACCCACTACCTCGTCCATA